ATTCTCCAACCCCTAATGGCATCTTCGCTGTCAGCCTTAGTAATGATCCTACTAATCACATCAGCTACTAAGGTAAAAAGGAAGGGTGAAAGTGGATCCCCTTGCCTGACACCCCTGCAAGCTGGAAAAAAGTCCCTCATCGTACCATTTACCAGAATAGAGTAGTGACAAGYACTGATACACCCAAAGATCCAACTACACCACTTGTCCCCCCAAATCCACCATTTCGCATAACCTCTAATAGAAACTCCCAGTCCACCAAATCATAGGCCTTTTCAAGATCCAATTTACAAATGAATCATTTCYTACTAGACCTTTTCATTCCCTCCACACACTCATTCGCAATTAAGATCTGATCTGTTATTTGTCGCCCTTGAATGAAAGCCCCCTGAGTTTCACTAATGATGGTAGGGAGGACTGTTTTGATCCTCAATGAGAACACTCTCCCATCACAGTTCAACTTCACAACTCCTTTTGGAGGGGGTAACCAACTTGCTTGTGTTCTATTTTTCTTGGATGATGTGGAGGCCACTGCTGCCCAACAATTCAAGCACGTGAAACTTTTATTCTCTTTATTTCTTTTCCAATCACATTACCCTAATTCTACAAGCCGCTTTATACCAAGCCCCTAGAGGCAAGGCCAAACAAAAATCCATGCTAGAGTCTAAATCCTTAATTCATGCACATAAGTTTGATTTTGTAATTTTAATTAGGGTAAAATACTTAAAGTACCCCTAGGTTTTTGAAAAGTTGGACAACACTGTTATTTTTTTTATCAATGACAACACTGTTATCTCTTGATGGAAGAGTGCAAATGTCTATTTTGCCCCCTTTTGATCCATGAAATTTCCCAAGAGAAATCTACCCACCACAAATCCAAATCTGCCAGCTAAATCTTTCAGGTTTATAACCTGTGTCATTATGAGATTTCATTATAACCTCTCAAGGTTGACAAGATTTAAACTTTGATATGGATCCACAGTAAGCCAAAAATCAGAAATACGGCCAGTGCACATAGTATTCAACTCCTAGTAACAACTACTAACAGAAACAGTATATCCATTATGGATTAACTAAACCTTCCCCTCCCCCGCTACTTCCCGGCTCGTGAATAATCTCAACTGTCAAGAAAAATGGCTGATGATGATTCCACTTGAACTATCTGCTGTAACATAGAACACTTACATACACTGGCACATTGGTCTCAACCACCACATGGTTTCAGGTACATTCCTCAATGCATGAAACCAATAGTCATGAACTTTCTATTCCCTTGTGTCATTTCATTTGCTACTATTGCCTTGTGCCATCCTCCTCACATTGTTCCAATAAACAATGACCTGATCAATGCTTCTGAAAGGCCCATTTGTTTGATCCAGTTGAACAATGCCGACCCCTTGATTTGCTTCCAATGTCGACACCACTCAGCCCACACTTGACAGACTTGAATAGAATGGAAGCACTGCCTAGAAAAAAGGTGCTCAAGACATGGAGCTGAACTGGGTCCTAGGCCACAATTCCTATGTATTCTGTGTAACAATTCATGATCCAGATCTATGTTAATCTAGGCAGATTTTGATAAATTCAGGTGCCACTGAAGCTGGTGGCTTTCTCATAGCAATATACTCTGCTCAGTATGTGCTCTAACATGAAATCCAAAAACAATGGCCTTCAAAGAAACCCAAGACTCGAGATCGGAGATGAATTCTAGATAGAATTTTGGATCTTCAATTCACAACAAAAACATGCTGAAGTTGTATTTCACCCCAATAGGGGAATTGGAGAAATCCAATGACATAAGATCTTCTTTTAGTTGTCATGCAGGCACTGACGAGATTCAAGACATGAAGATAGTTGTTAGGCATCGAGATCAATAGCTGGAATTAATGCTGGCATCCTTATCAAGAATATGGATACTAACCTTTCTTTTTTCTTGTTCTTGCAGGTTCAGCATACTTACACAATCTGTAGACTCTTTTTTCTACCTTGCTTGTTGCTTGCAATGGCAGAAAACAATTTGTGGAATATATGTGAAACACAGAGAATGAAACAAAGAAAGTTACAAAAATAGATAGAACAGAGAAAAATAAATAGAAACAAACCCTTTGCAACCTGGGTAGGAGAAGGAAATTTGCGAATTTAGATGGTTATGCAGGGGAGTCGGAGGTGTTGAAGAAAGCCCAGGTTGCAAATAAATCTCATAAGTGCATGTTACTAAATTTTTTTCTAGACTGAAAGAAGGCCTGATTGGAGCTGGTCCAACAATCAAATATAGGAGAATTTATAAGAAAAAGGGGTCAAAATTCAAGGTTCAAAGGTGGCGGTGGAGAAGAAGGGTACCAAATCTAAAATGTCAGTAGGGGTGGAGACCCAATCATTGGAGGTATCTGAGGAAAATCTAGAGCTAATTGCTGGGTCAGAGGAGAGGGAAAAGGAGGGTGAAGTTGCTAAAGAAAAGAAGACCAAGGAGGTTATATCAGACAGCAAGGAGGTAAAGGGAGGAAAGTTGGAGCTTGAGAATCTGGCTGAAGGGATATATACAAATGTCTTTGTAAAGTGGGATTGAAGTAGGGTGACTATGTTCACCTATAACGATGGTTGGGAAACTTTGTACATAATCAATACTTGTTTCAATTAATGAAATTTAAGTTACTGAAAAAAGTTCTTTTATTAATTGGTTGCTGGTTAGCAAAACAATGCCAAAGTGATATCATTCCCCTGAAGAACTTAACTATGCGAAATCAATGCAAACTGTTGCTACTTGAATTAAATGAGTTAATGCATCATCTGTCAAGGACTTAAAATTGGAGACCTTTTGCGGCCAGATTATTATTTTGGTTCATGTGTTTTTTAATATGAATGGGAGAATGTTGACAATCATATTCCTTGTTTCTTTTTTGTTCTTTTTCATTTTTTTTTTCTTTTTTGGCAGTAAGGTCTAATTTGATCCATATTTTTTTTCCAGGGTGTTGGAAACAATGATCAAAAAGTTCTTGTTCTTGCAGCAACAAATACTCCCTATGCTTTGGATCAGGTAAAAAGGCTTTGTAATCACTGCTAAATGGTACAGAAGTTTATTTTTCTTCCTCTAGGGTGTAACGTGTACTGTGGAAGTGTCGTCATGCAATATTGCAAGCTTCTGGCAGAATTAGAGGAGATGCACCAAAAATTTAGAAATGTCATTGCAGGGATTAGAGTTTGTTGTATAACTAGATTGTTAGTATAGGGGGCTAAAAGAGGTGAAGTAATAAGATGATGAGATCTCTGGGTCTGGGCATATAAGGATGGAGTTGGTTCGTTTTTTTTTTTTTTTTTCACAAAAGTTATAAGAAATTGCAAAGTATTATTTTGAGTTTTTCAACTTGGAAAAAATTTATTTGATTGCCTTCATGATTGGAATATGTGACATTTATACTTGTTTTGACTATTATTCCCATGCCAGTTTATATTTTTAGCTGCTTTAATATTCTTTGTTCAGAAAGAAAAATCTAGTAAAAACCCAGAATTGTCAAGATGCATCATTTGAAATATTGAAAATGTACTTCAACATTGAGAATATGTCATGCTATCTTGCCAAACTGCCCAAGAAACGAGGGTGTAGGTAACAGTTATTTTCATTTGAGTGATTATGAATTTGTATTGCTGTCACTGATGATAATTTATTACAGGCCATCCGACGACGATTTGACAAACGGATATACATTCCTCTCCCTGATTTAAAGGCTAGGCAACACATGTTTAAAGTACAAGAACTCTCTCTCTCTCTCTCTCTCAATTACTCCGATGACTTCTGATTAATTTATTATGCTCCACTGATCAGGTACATCTAGGAGATACCCCTAACAACTTGACAGAAAGTGACTTTGAGATGCTAGCCCGCAGGACAGAGGGATTCTCAGGTTCAGACATTTCTGTTTGTGTAAGTGCAAGACCGTTCGCATTGTGTTTTAGGTGCTATTCTTGCTTGGCTGCTGTTGAGTAATTCTCTCTATTGCTGTTCTTATTAACTTGACAGGTAAGAGATGTGCTCTTTGAACCAGTACGTAAAACCCAGGATGCCATGTTTTTTGTAAAAACCTCTGATGGCATGTGGATCCCGTGTGGACCAAAGCAAGCAGAAGCAGTTCAGATTACAATGCAGGAGCTTGAAGCAAAAGGCCTTGCTTCAAAGGTATGAATGGATGGGCAAGAAACCCAAATGAGTGGAGGAATTATGACCTTTTGCTTGATTTTTGCTTACCCATTGAAGTAATATAATCTCCCTTGAAAATCTGACACATGTACAGATCCTTCCTCCACCAATCACAAGGATGGATTTTGAAAAAGTGCTTGCAAGACAAAAGCCAACAGTGAGCAAATCTGACCTTGAGGTGCACGAGCGATTCACAAAGGAATTTGGGGAGGAAGGTTGATGGATTTGAATTGGAACAAAACACTTGCTGGCTGTGAGGACAGGTATTATATTTTGTATTTTTATTACCATTGTCTTATTGAAAGAAATATCATCTTTATAGCTGTCAAGTGCAGAAGTTTTATAGAATTCCTTCGCTGCTGTATGAGTGGGAAAGTGCTTGTTTTGAGATGTGATACTTTGTCTGAAAGTTTTCTTGTTTCAACCAGAGAAGCAGAACTATAAGACTACTGATAATTATATCGTTGTATATACCATTTTTACTCCAAGAATACAAGACTGCGAACTTTCATGGGTTCATGGGCAACCACCATTACATTCATCACAACTGCAAACTTAACTCGATGGTTAACCATTCAACTTCAATCTTCTCTTCAATCCCTTTGTGGGACATTTCCTGGCAGTTTATTGGAATTAGCAAACTAAGCTTAATGTAATTAAAGAAATTCCAAGCTGCGTTTTTTTTAGCTACTCAAACAGTGTCGTTTATTGAATAACTGTGGACTCGACCAAGACAATGAATAAGAACAAGATGAGTTAAAACATTACGAGTATGACGAGTGTAAGAAAATGAGAACTTTTTAGTTGACACAATAGAATGCGAATCATCAACCATGGATCTAATATTCCAAGGCACTTCTACACTATTATCCTCCATAGCACAGATTAAAATGAGGCAATCACATAAAAAAGAAGAAAAAAAAAGGCAGAAACTACATGAAACTTGATAGCTAACTCGATTGCATATCACAACCCCCACATTTCAGCCATAAAACCCTCCGCACGAATTGACTGCTAGTCAGCTACACATCCAATCCATCTTCTGATTGGATAGGAGAATAGGATCTTATCAAAAATCGGATCTGAGAAGATCCCATCTGATATTATATATATATATATATATATATATATGTGTGTGTATGTATTATTTATAAATTATAAATATAATTTTATAAATTTGTTATATTATTTATTTTTTCATAAAAACATGTATATATAATGGGAATAATTAAAAATATTTGTATTTTTCGTTTTTACTTTATTTAAATTAGTATATTTTATTTTTCTTTTAATAATTTATTAATCTTTAAAAAAAACAAGTCGGATTGGATCAGATCCAAAGATTCGGCTTACCAATAGGATTTGAACAAATCAAGTCTTATCTGATCCAAACAGATCTTCGGATTGGATTCGAATATACCCTGATTGGAATCTGATCCAATATGTTTGCATCCCTAATTGGCGCTTCAAGTAAGGTTGTCAGCAGCATGAGGTGTCAAGAAATCCTTGCACAATCTCTAATACTCTCTTCAAGATTAGACACAACATGGGAAAAGATTACTCAATTGCGAGTTCTTTGGATGTACCATAACATACAACATGAATATAGAAAAAGCATCTTTCCACGCTTAATATTAAATTGAGTAATTTATAATCAAATCCATGAAATTGTGTCTATGAAGGTAGTATGAAACTTCCATACCAAATTAGAGCCAAACTAGACTTCTTGCATGACTGGGCATAAAACAAAAAGATGGTCAATGTCTTCTTCCATAGCATAACCAAAGACGACTTCTCTGAAGTGATGCCCAAATGCTAGTGAAGAGTGAGACCATTGTGCCATAACTTTCAAATGAACAATCTAATATGTTGTAGTAGTGGTATTCTCTAAAATTTACTCCATGGGAAATGGGCAGCATTGTGTATATATATCATGTCACCACCTGACATACCTCTGGCAGTCCTGGCAATCCAGATCCAGTACCCCAATTTGAAAGTATATTTCCCTTTCTTATCAAACACCCATATCCAGTAATCATTTCCTTGAGCACCTTAAAGGTATTTGCATCTTATTAATTGCTCCACACACTTCACTATTAAACAGTCTCCACAATAGCTCCAACTTCCAACTACTTGAAGAAAGTAGAAGATGACAACTATAAAACAAACGATAATTACTTTGAGTAGTAGGCACCCTAAGACCATTCAAGTATAGTATCCAAGGCTCATCCCATATCCTTGTATGAAGCCCATCATGTACTAAAATACAAATTGAGTTCACAACCTGTACACATTTCAAATGTTTGGAGCTATAAAACAGGCTGTGTTGGACTGGCAAAGCGTGGGCCGTTCTGGGTCGTGCCTCTCTCCCCTGGGATATTTTGGGGGATCGGCCTAGTACGATCCATGGTCCAAGCTTCCATGGGCCTGTAACGTGCCACCACCCGAGTTGGTCTGTGGGCCGAACCTTAGGCCAAGTTGGGCCATGGACTAGGCCAAAACTATGAAAGGTTTATTTGAAATTTTTAATAAATTCTTAAAATTTTTATTTTATATGAATTTTGATATATACAATAGTTAAATAAAATAGTATAATAAATTTGAAAATAATTGTTTATTTTATTAATATAATATATTCTATATATTATTATACAATTATAATATATCTAATATATAATTTATTATATATTATATATATTATTTATATAAATATATATATATATATATGAGTACTGTTGGCACGGGCTGACACACGGGCCATAGGTAGCACAATCATGTCGTGCCTGACACGGCCCGCATACCATCGTGCCGAGCTGTGGGCTGCATGGCCTGATTTACACTTCTGCAAATGTTCTTTCATGACCAAGAGGAAGATTACATGGAGCTTCCAAGAAAGAGACATGAGGAAAATATTTTTATTTGAGTAGAGAAACCCGTAAGGAGTTAAACTCAACAAACGCTAACCCAATTTACAACTAAGAGCTAAGTTCTGTTCATGTAGCCACTTCACTCCAAGTCTACCAAGAGCTATGGGTACAGAAATATTCTCCCACGCCATAGTAATGTGTTGTTGATTCCTAGTGTGCCTTCATCCCTAAAAAATGATGCAGAAGTAAGAACGAATTTGATTAATGTAAGTTTATCAGCTTGAAAGATCAGACTAGCCCAAGGTTTTTAAAATTGAACCGGATAACGAACCATTCAGGGGTTAGGTTCCTGGGTTAAATGGTCTGATCGTTCAAACTGAACAGATGGTCCATTATGACAAAAAAAATAAAAACGGCCAAGTGGCGGTTTGAATTAGGGGTTTCAACGATATTTAAAAATCCGAATTTGAATTCGATATCCGATGTAATCAGTTTGAATTTGAATAATTTGGATGATGCAAATAGTCGAATTCAAATATATGCTTTGTACCGATTAAATAATCAAATCGAATTCGAATACATGTTGATTTGAATCGATAATTATCCGGATTTGATTATTATAATAATATAATATAAAAGAAATATGTGTGTCTTAAAATTAGAACCTTGATCAAGTTTCTTTAACTTTTTATATTATATATTATTATATACTCTTATTTTGATATGCAAAATAAAAAAAAAAGAACTAATTGCTTTTGCCATGATAAGACCACTCAGTTCAGACTTATTTTCATTAGTTGACATGTGATAAAAATGCATTAATTACTTTAACCTATTCCGTCTCATCTCCCCCCATTTTCCTCTCTTGTATCTCTCATTTTTTCACTCCCCTACATTGACTTCCACCCCTCATCTGGTTTTGCTGATTTTTATGGAAGAGATTTTAAAAAAAAATGAATAGCACATATTGAAAGCAAAGATCATGTATCAATGAAGCAAAAGAGAGTTTCATAGTAAATGAGCAGGTATCATCCATTTGTTTTATGGTAAACAAAAAAAAAAAAAAATGTTGCAGTCTCTCCCTCTTCTCCTCTTTCTCCCCCTCTCTCCCTCCCTCCCTGGTGCTTTCTCCTTGTTCTTTGTTCATCTTTTTCGTTGTTTGTTCCATATTTTATTAGGTTTTTTTTTTTCTTTTCTATTTTTCCCTTGTTCGTTCATCTTCTTCGTTTACAAATTTTGTATATCCTTTGTTCATTCAAAGAAAACAAGGTAAGACTTTCTCCAAAATTCATTCAAAGGGAAAAAGAGAGCTCATTATTGGACTTCAAGAATTACGAGATAATTCATTGATTTCAAATTAACTGAATATTCGATTATTCGATTATCTAGTCGAATTCGAATTCAGTTTTTAATTTTTAATGTCTGTGGAATTTGAATAATCAGTTTTATAGTCAAATTCGAATTCAAATACAACGTGATTCAATTTGAATTCGCTCCGTTTACAGGCCTAGTTCAAATGGTTCGACCGCCCAGGTCAGCGGTTTGCTGACCAAATCAACGATTTTTTGCCAAAAGACAGTTTTGGGATAAAACGGAACCAGTCAAATGATCGGTTCCTAATTTTTCTGGTTTGACCATCCGGTCCGGTCCGATTTTGAAAACATTGTACTAGCCTTCTAACCACTCAAACGATGCTACACCTGCTCCACAAGAGATTTAAAAGTAAATGGTGTTCCCAAATACTAGGGCCAAAGGCCCTAGTAATAGAAGGTCTTTGACATTTGAAAGACCAAAAGGCCCTAGACTAGGCCCAATGACCCTAAAACCCTCCACCCCCGGAATCCAACGGCCCTACCATATGTCCACATCATCTCCAAAGCTTATTGCTTAACAGATTCCTTTCAATAACGCTTCTCTCCCAGCAAGGAGGCTTTTTCAACCCCAGGATCCATTTTGTTTAAACAAACCATGATGGAAATTTCCTCCTAGAAAATACTTTGCTTTCATGACTTTGGCCTACAGACTTTCCTTGTTTGTGCAGATTCTCTAGTCTAACTTTGCCAATAAGGCAAGGTTGAAATCTCTTGGGTCTCTAAAGTCAAGCCCCCATTTCCTCTATTTCTATTGATTTTGTTCCAACTAACCTAGTTGATTTTCTTTTTTTTCTTTTGTGCTACCCCACCAAAACCATCTTTGAGCTTACTAGATCATCAATTAGTTCCTTTGGAACAAAAATCAATATATTGTATGGCTTGGGATGGCTACTACTACTGCTTTCAATAAAATCTCCTTTTGGGTTAGAACAGGCAACGAGGCGGGGTAGGGATAGGAAACCTCTCCCTATCCCCGTTTCCATGAAAATTCCCATTCCCCGTAATTTTTTATAATGTTAAACATTTTGTTTTTGTTTTTTATTTTATTTAAAAACTAAAAATAAAATAATTAAAATTTATAATTCTATTAGAAAATATTCAAAAATATTCAATCATATTTTTAAAATGTTAATATATAGATGTACGTGTACATATACACATATATAATGCAAGCATACATATATGCATATATATTAGTGGGGATCCCACGAGTGGGGATTGGGGCCTCCACGGGGTGGGGAGTGCTCTCCCTGTTCCCACCCCATCTCCACTAACGGGGATGAAAATTTCCCCATCTCTAACCCCACGGGGGGAAATCATCCCCATCTCCACCCCGAATGGGGTGGATCCCCACGGGAATCAAGGAAATAGGGATAATTGCCATCCCTATTTCTAATAGGGAAAGCAAGTGCTTGTGCCAAGCATTAGTTTTCTTCTCTATTCTTTCTCTTAGATAATGAAAGTTTTTTTTTGACCTTCCTAGAGAAGCAGGAAGGCCTAAGTAAATGGAGGGGGGAAGGGATAGGTTTTAAATGAAGTCTCTGAGTAATATTTTTTCTTAGCCTAGGATGAACACATTTATTAAAAGAAACTTCAGATTTTGAGAGATTCAAGAAGCTAGGGCTTCAAAAGCTAAGGCATTAAATTTAAGAAATGTAAAGGGGAGTTTTCTGTCAATAGAGAGTGAAGTAGAAGATGGGAATAGGTCTTACTTTCTCATTTTGTGGAATAAATCAATGTATTTCTTTTCTTGGTTTCTACTATTATTCTGGCCATAGCGCAAGAAATACAACGTTTCCAATTTTACATTTCAGTAATTTTTAATTACCTGAATGTAATTTTGACATGTGTGAAATGTATGATAACATGGAAAATTTTTTATTGAGGAACTGATATATTTCTCTATATTTACATTATAAATACGAATAAACCTTGATAATAACTTGTGGCTGTAGTTTAGTGGTAAGAATTCTACGTTGTGGCCGTAGAGACCTGGGCTCGAATCCCAGCAGCCACATTAAACTCTTTTTGTTCGTGTTTTCCCCTTTTTTTTATACGTCGAATCTAATACAACCTAAATTTGCGTTGCAGAAAGAGCTTAATTGTTTAGCACTTTAGCTCTGTTACGGACTTACGGTGCAAATTTGGGTTTGTACTCTTCCCAAACCAAGCCTTTTAAATCATTTTCAATTCAATCATAAATGAAAGCGAATCCAATTTGGATCACCTCAATAAGATTGCATTTGGCATTCCTTATTTTAAGGATTTATCTCCTTTTTCCAGTTAAAATGCCCTATCAATATTGAACTTTTAACAGCAAAAAGAGATAAATCCTTAAAAGAATGCCAAATGCAGCCTAAATCGATTTGGATTGGGATTTGAATTCCATAAATGGATACCATTTGTAGTCAGTCCTGTGGACTCCCTCCAATCCATAAAAGCATAAACCGGATCGAAATAGACACCGGACCGCCTACTTAGGATCCGGTTCTAATCAATCCTGGACAACCCGACCGAATCGCTTAACTAGTCATATAACGGATGATCAGTTCGTTGAGATGAGAGTCTTGTTGGCGGCGGTGGGAAGGAACGAACCGGAGCCGGGAGGAATGGGAAAGCGCGGGAAGAAGCAGAGCCACCAACGACACACTCCTCGAACTTTCTTTGACGCTTCAGAAGACGAAGAAGAAATCGTTGCCAGAACTCTTCCTTCCTCATCTGAAGAAGAACCAGAAGAACAAGAACAAGAAAAAGAGGACGGACAACAAGTGGGAAATGATCAAAAGGAGTACTCATTCGACTCCCCTTCTAAGTTTCTCCTCTATCAACAGTCTGTGCAGGTAGATAATCGACAAAGACCCTCTCTTTCCTTCTTTACAACTACCCTAATCACTTACCATTTTCCAGGTTTCTATTGTTGCTTCTTTTTCCTTTCTTTTCCCTTATTTTTCATGAATTTTGCACATTTTATTGATGATGGTTGATGGTGAGTTTTGGTGCGCAGTCACCAAAAGGAGACATAAGCTATCTCCAGAAGTTCTTCCTGATGTATGTTGGCGGGAGGGCTCCACTTCATCTCCAAGAAGATTTCTGTGGCACTGCTCTCCTGTGGTCAGATATCTCTACTCTGTTCCCTCATTTTCTTCCTTTTAATCTTACATGATATGCAGTTAAACTTGGGCAGCGCTTATTTTCATTTATGAAAATGGGTTTGTTCCATTTTCTGATAATTCGTAGAAAATTAAAAGAAATAAATGCAAATGCAGACCCCTAAAAAAATTCTAACGCATTACATTAGTAATCAGTTTTAGGGGACGCCAGAGCATTCTATTATCATGTTTTTCTTGCCCACGGACTCGTCTGTTCGTTTCTCCATCGTCATTTCTTTCAAATTCTTCAATTAAGGCCATTTGTTCATTTATTTAACCAAAAGGAAAGCTAAAAAACAAAGCCATAACAGAGATCAGATCTCATCTTTGGGGTACAGAATATGCTTGTGAAGAAACCTGACAAGTTTTAGAAGCTTCATAGTTCAGAAATATGGCTTACTTTTGGCTTCTTCCCAACTTTCATGGTTGTTGAGCTTTAGAATTAGCTTTCACAGAATGAATACGTCGTCTATTTTATCTTAGGATTTCTTCTGCCTTTCTTCCCCCCTTTCTTTCTGTTGTTTGTTTACCATTGCAATTACAGAAATAAGTGAAACGTAAGACACCTGGTGCGCTTGCATAAGTGTGGTCGTGGTCTACTTATGAAATACTGGTGCTCCATTTGTACAAGCATAATTGGGCAACTGCGGCTCATCATTTGATGAATCCCCTGTGTCCTTGGGGTTGTTTGTTCCTTGAGGTACATTGATTTTCTTCAACAAATTTCAGAGGCCTAATGGATCTTTCTTTCTGTCTTTTTCCAGTACAGAGTGGCTCCGCAGTGACACAAGAAGAACTGCTATTGGACTTGATTTGGATCTTGAAGCACTTAACTGGTGTCTGGAGAACAATATAAGCAAGATCGGGGCTGATGGATATTCTAGAATATCCTTGTACCACGGGAATGTCTTGCAGCCTATGGCGGCTAGATTAGTCAAGTACAAACCCCAAGATCTAATAAGAAACATCACACTTAATGACCACAAAGAGTCTTCAGAGGATGTCATTCCGGAATCTTCTACAAATATGGATGGTCATGCTTCTGCTGATGATGAGCTTGCAAAAAGGAACAGTTCACTGCCTGCAAGAGACATTGTCTGTGCCTTCAACTACAGCTGCTGTTGCCTTCATAAGCGTGCAGACCTGGTTTTGTATTTTAAGCATGTTCTTGGTACCTTATCTAGAAGAGGTGGTATATTTGTGATGGACATATATGGAGGTATATCATCAGAGCGTGAACTAAGGCTTCAGAGGCGATTTCCAAACTTTACAGTAAGCTCCTATCACATAACCAAAAGCTAAAGGACATACAGGTTTTGCAGTAGAACCCAAAATTGTAGTTGGCCCACATGTTCCCTCTACAAACATTAGTGTTAGTGGTAACCTGAAAAAAAGGCAGATGAGCCACAATATATATTTGATAAATCTTCCCCTTGGTCGATTCTAGAATTTCCTTGTAAGATAAAGCCTATAAGGCAATCATAATCTTCCTCTCCCAACTTTCTCTTTCAGAACCTCCTCACAATCTTCCTCTCCCAACTCTCTTTCAGAACCTCCTCCTGCACCTGGCACCAACTATTGCTATCTTTAACTTTCAGTAATATTATTTGCAACTGTTGTTATTTGGAGGCATGTATATATTTTTAAATAATCACTAAATAAAATACTTCTGTTACATACATATTTAGATTTATTACCATTATTGACTTGGACCATCTTTAGAAATGCTCTATTGTCCCCCTCTAGCATGCATTTTAGCATTTTGGGTATGTCCTGACATCATATTCTCAGTTTTTTGATAATCAAAACCTGGTCTAGAAGCAAGTCCCATCATTTTCACAGAGAAACAAGAAACTTGAAACTTCTCTGCAACTTAAAAAGGAAAACATGTGAAATAAATTGTGTGAAAGATCCAGATGCTAACTTATCAGTTACTTCTGTCAGTCATTATACCATGGAGATTGCATCTTCTATTTTCCTTGCATGTTGCTGCTTTTAAGATTAACTAATTTTAGTAATGGATAATCTTTTTATCTAATACTTTCCAACCAAAAAAATCTTTATCTAGTATTTGCATGAAAGCTTGGTGTAATTGAAGTTTCATGCAACTGTTAGTAGTTACGTTAGTTGGAGTTAAACAGTTACTGTCGATTTCTGCAGTATTTTTGGGAGCAAGCTGAGTTTGATATTATAAATCGCACAACAAGAATCAGTCTGCACTTTCACCTACGAAATCAACAGAGGAAACTTCGCCATGCATTTTCATATAACTGGAGGCTGTAAGTTGTATTACCCTTTCCACTTGCTAAGGTTTGCTTTAGCTTAGGAAATGGTGTGTTAATCACATGATCCTTGATCCCCATAAAAATTAATTATATTATTTTGCAACTTTAGCTATGCATTTTCTTTGTTGCCTACTGTTTTTTCCTTTTTTTTTGCTTACACTAAGTTTTCTATTTTAGACGTACATCATTGAATATAAATAGGTTTTTGATCTAATAAAAAACTAATACTGTAATTTGTGGTTCCAGCATTCCAACAATCAGTATACTTTTAGTAACCTAAACCTTTATGCTTTCTTTCTTTTTTCATTTTCCATTTTTCTTGTGTGACAAAGAAAGAAAGAAGGGCTCCTAAAAACTAGCTTTAGTCAAATGTCTAAGCTCTCCCTGTAAGAGATTATCCGCAGGTTCACCAAGTAGAGCACCAACCTCCACATCACACCTATAAGAACCTAAATGGAAACAAGACCTAAATCAATAGGAACCTTGCTACAGTTTAAGTAAAAAAAAAAAAAAGTAGAGAAGCTCCCTTTGGCTAGGGTTTTACTGGGAAAGCACGTGGTGGACTATAACAAACTGGATATGTGACTAAGATTTTGGAGGCCTAGCCTGGCTGGTTCTGTTTGTCATTTTGCCCCTTTGAAGAGGTAGGAAATTTTTAACATTCAAAGATGGAATAATTGTTCAGTGCTTTTTTGGGAAAATTAGGAATATGGAGTTCTCTCTCTAACATGGGGAAATATTGAAAATACATGATTTCTTACTTAGAGTTCAAAATATTACAACAAAACAACCATGTAGAACAAATACAGTCATCTTAAGGTGCAAAGCTATTTGTTGGCAGACAAACAATGATATATTGGCATTCAACTTTAAAAAAAATGATATATTGAAAGTTGAAGTACGATAATTTGTGATTACATTCACAGAAAAGGGGAAATTGTGGCATCTACTTGCTCCTCGATGGTAAACAAACTCCTATCAATCTCTGTTCTAGAGCTGTGACTTTATGATGATTGATTATATGCCTAGGTGGTCATTGCCTGAAATCAAGGACTGCTTGGAAGAAGCTGGATTCCGGTCTGTGCATTTCTGGATTAAGCAGATGCCAGACACACAAGTTAGAAACTCTGAAGGGTTTGGCTCAGGGCGAGATTTGAAGTACGAAGAAGTCTCAACATTTCAACAACAAGATGCATGGAATGCATACATCATCGGCGTCGCGAAGTGAATGTATCAGTTCCCATTGTTTTCTGTTGTAGCAACCACGAACTATATATTGAGAAATGCATACGTTAATAATTGTTAGCTTTGAAGGCTTCTGAGAAAATGAGGCTGAGGCACCCAGAGTCCCATCTAGGGGACGATGATGCAGCAGTTAATTTGGTCGACAATTAATCTTTCTTCAGTTCCTTGACAGGAGACTATTGTGACGTGAAGGTCATTGGCAACGAGAAAGCTTGTAAAGGATTTGATTGGTGCATGGTTCAAAGCATTGACCCGCGCAATACGCAATTTTTTGCATATTGATTCAAAGGGGTGATACATATATGGATTAAAATTGTTTCAAGTTGCCTTGAAAAAAAAAAAATTGTTTCATGTTTTAAGCTTTGGACCAGGCCATCTCTGGGAAAGGTATTAACAATTGAACATTACATGGCTACCCGAGTATTTAGCATTTGAGTGAACCTGACAACCGATATCTATCATATGATATAAATACTTTGATTTGAACCGGTGCAAGTGAGTGCAGGGCTGTGAATTTGCTAGAATTTGTTACCCACTTACCCAAAAGGCCCCCAACGTGTAGTATCGCTACAAAAAAGCAATCAAGAGTAGTAGATCATCCCTTGAAACATTATCAATCAAAGTGAGCAGTGGTTAACATGGTCTAGTTAGTAATGAATGGTATCATGCTTTCACTAAGCATTTCACATAATACATGCTGCAGTAYTGCACCGTGGCTCAATGTTTTGTTGGGATCAAGGTCAGATCAGCAGTTGCCTTCATTTGGATTAGATTCAAGAAGAAATATGGCAAAGGCACTACAGAATGACACGAGTTCACTTGTATTGATTTCTGTTCATTGGACGAGGTGAGGCCAATTTTGATAGGATTAATCAAAACTTGCTGCTCTCAGTGCGTCACAGGGGAAACCCAGCTGGTCAATCCAATCAGTCATGCTTGCATCCCCCACCATTCTACTTTTAAGAGCTTCCTCGCCAAAATATAGAAAATGCGACCCCAAATAAGCCACTTAAACGTATCGATCGGATCAGTGATTGATGGTCTACTTCTAATTTCTGAGGTGTTACCTATTTGAGTCACCAAAAAGAATTTATATACAAAACCAATGAAATTTCTTTTAACATGAAAATGCATTAAACAATAAATATTTCCCTATAAATGAAACTCTTTCCTGACAATATTACCAACATTGCTTGATTTTCCTCGACAGGATGCGCAGAGTGCAAAAAATGGCCGCAGTACAACACAATCACCTGAAAAGCAACAGCATGTGAAGCGACCTAATTCTCCCATAGGTAGGTCAAGCCTAATGGTCGAGTGGCTAAAAAGGACCACGAAAAAAATACAAGGACTAGATACAAAAGCACTAATGAAAACTAGATGCTTGATATACATTTTCACTCGGACCAGGTTATCTTCACACTCCCAAATCAGTTATCTTTACTCGTGTAATAGCTAGATTAGAGCCATGCAGAGCTGACAATGAACTTGCTCCTCCCAATATTTAGAAGGTTGGCCTCGGCCGGTTCCTGCTGTATTTAGGTGGGTTTGTCTTGGCAACATCAACAACTATCATCCAGCCATTAATGATCTGCAAGCACCGGTAACAAAGATACGAACTCCACTGAATCTCTTCTAAAGAGTTGATTTCTTATATGAATAACGCATCAATGCAAAGAAAAGGCTTTCTTTGATACCTTGCCATTCATCTCTTTGAGAGCAGCACTAGCAGCAGCTTCTGTTGTGTATTCAATAAATGCGTAACCCTTTGACCTTTTAGATATCTTGTCCATTATAATTTTAACTGTTGAGAACAACAATAACATAATAATAAAGCACTTAAAAGGCAAGTGTAGAGAGGAAATAATTAACTGGCAATGTGAAATCTAGAAACATTGTTGGACAGGTTCGCAAAAAAATACCTTCCACAAGCTCACCAAAACCTTCAAATGCCGCACGTAATGTTTTCTCTGATGTGTAGAAGGATAGGCCTGTAACCAGCATGCATTGCAAGGATCATTAGCAGTGAAACATGTATGATTTGAGAAACTTGGAATGCAAGCATAAAAAGCTATCTTCAAAACTAGTGTTTGATTGTCTTGCTACAAGTTAATAAGCTACCTAAGAGTAAAATATTGAGGTAAAAAATCAAAATATCAATTCCGCCAAGATAAATGAAATAGAAGGGGAAATAGTTAAGAGTAAATCCAACACATCCTAACCTAAATCCAACATAGCAAATGACATACCAGTTACAAATAGCCTTTTTGTTTTTACATTGGGCATCTGATTTGCATCCAAAGAGCCAGGGGAGTCAGAATCACCTGAAAAATGACAACCATTAAATCAAATTCAAGAAATCTTCACTGACTAATTTTTTTCTGTTCTATGATACCTAAGAACTTTTTTCCCTAATCCAAAAAGAAAAAGAAAAAAAATAGTAAAAAGGCATCATAGTCATTTAAATTTTAAAATTTACAATATAATTCATGATTTAAATAGTTAATCTCAAGGATTGTGATGCAAATCTCATAACTTCCTAAAAATTCTTAAACTACTTTTTGGATCTTATGATTTATATATTTCGCACAATTCAAGTCAGTTCACTAAGACCAAGTCCTCTATTCTGTCATTCCTTTGTTTTTTTTTTTTTAATTTTTTTTCTCAAAAATGCAATGGTTTTAAAACCTTTATTAGAATAGGCTTATTTAGGTTTCTAAGACCTATTTATATAACTTATTGAGTTTAGTTTCTATCATTGTAGGGTAAGGAGCCATATATGTGGGTTAATTGACTATCAAGTTATAATTATATCATCTAAAGTTTCTGATGTACAGATGGTAAACTCTGTTGTATTCCATAAATATTGTGTAACTGCATATTCTGATAGAAATTAAAAATCCCCATAGGTTTGACAGATATATCTCCAACCTTGTGTAAAACCTTTTTTGATCAACTGTAACTTTCATTAATAGAATTTAAACAAGTGAATTACAAAGAATCAACCATGCTGTTAGCCATCCTCTGCACCAATTGTGAGTCCCCTTCAACCTTGTTTAAAACTTTTGACCTCCGTGAATAACTAAATAGTGAATCAAGTAACCAATGATTTCATAGTATATAACTAAAATTTATTTTTGTAACTAGAGAATCAAGACTATTAAAATATATGTAACCTAGGAATGTGCAATTGATGTTAAGTGTCTATAGGTGTCCAATAGGTTGACATCTAGGATTCAAAGTGGAGGAAAGATAAAAATGTAAAAAGATTTACAATATTATAAAAACAAGAAAAAGGAAAACAAGGATGAAATGTACAAAAATGCTGAAAAAGTAAAAAGACTTTTATCATGGACAGAGGCTGACAAGGTTGCTTGGTTGGGGGAAAAGGAAGGGTAAATTGCTGAAACCTCCCCTGTACTTTCTGACAGTTGTGGTTCAGTACTCTACTTTATGCTAATAGGACTGTCCTCCACTGAACTTTCTAACATTATTGCATCTACACCCCCTCCATCAACTCAACGTTAAAATGTTAACCAAAATTGTTGATGTCATCAACTCAACATTTTTAAATGTGAAGATTGCCCTTAAATAAAAACATCAAACATGTGGTTCTACACTAACCAAAATACCCTGAAAAGAGTCATCCACCACACTCAATATTTTTCTTAAAACACAATAAAAAAATGTAGGAGACACAAAAATTGAAAAAAAAAAATAAAAATTTATACTAACAAAAAGGCCAAATTTTCAAAAAAAAAARCATAAAAATTATATAATTTTCCAAAAACATATTTCAACCAAAAAATCAGAATTGCAGAAAAAATACATAAAATGATAAAATTTTCAGTATGTATAAAGGCAAAATTTCAGAAAAACAAAGAAAATGATAAAAATCCAAAAATGTACATTTCAATAAAAAGTAGAAAATGTAGAAAATATATAAAATTCATAAAAAATAAAAAAAATATAACAATTCAACAAACTATACAGAAATTGTAGAAAAACGAAAATTTTATGAATTTTATGGCTAGTGTAATAGGGAAGGGTAAATTTAGAAGCCAATTTACCATTCAAATGGTCAAAGTTGGGAATTTTGGTAATTTTGTCCACTTCCGTTGGCTAGCTCAAAATAATGGAGGGGGTGTAGATGCAACAATGTCAGAAAGTTCAGGGGAGGACAGTGCTATTAGCATAAAGCAGGGTGCTGAACCACAACTGTCAGAAAGTACAGGAGAGGTTTCGGGCTTTCAGCAATTTACCCAAAAAGGAAACAAAAGATTAAAATAAGGGGAACTATTTAATGTTGTGGGTTCACAAGCACTATAGACCATGACTTACTCATGGCATTTTCTAAAAGTGGAACTGACTATAATGTTCCCTATCTACTTGCTTTGGATGTCCAATGCTATGGACAAACTAAACATTTGCCTTTTTGTATGATTTTCTCTTGTTCTTTATTCCACAATTTCTTTGATTCCCAGACAACAAAGAACAACCAAAAAAATGAATTCAAGATATTAATGATAAAACAAATAAAAATACAAAAAATAAATGGAAAAGGAAAAAAGAATATGAATTAAGTTAGAAAAACCCCACTAAAATTTTGTGTGGACATGAAAAAGAAAATAAAAATATGAGGCAACATGTAGACCTCGTTCTAATGGGTGGAGATGAGCAATGCTAAGGATACCTATAAAAAAGTTAAGAATACAAATCCATCTTTTATCACACATCAGGGACATTGTGTCGATCAAGGAGGTCAGTATCTGTGCTTCCAACCAATGTTCAGAAAACCAGACCAGGCATAGAACTAGAGAAGGGAAAGGTTCATGGGTCAGAGGTTCAACTGGGGTTGAACCGGTGGTCGAACTGTGATGACGTGGCATATACATATATATACTATGGATCATATAAATACTATATATAATATATTTAAATATGTTAATTAGATGGAAAGTTTCTTAACTTTTAAAGCAAATGACTAGGGTTCAAGTCTCTTAATTTACATTTTCTTTAAAATACGTGTATAAATAAGTAATATATACAACAAAAAGTCATTAATTAACACAAGTGAAGAGGTGGACTAATGGTAATTAAGCAATATATAGAAATTAGAGGTCATGGGTTCAAGTCTTACTAAAAACATTTTAAAATTTCAATTGTTAAGGACCTGGGTAGTTTCACAAAACCGGGACCGGTTCACCAGTTTTCCGGTCAGCCGGTTTTCACCAATTTTTTATCAAGTGCAGTTATTGGGGTATGGCCAAACTGGCCAAGGTCCCGGGTCATGGTTCAACCGGTCTGACTGGATGGTCCGGTCCGGTCCGGTTTTCTAAGCACTGGTTCCAACAGACAGAATTATGGATATGTGCTATAAAATGGATTTGTATCCCTTACAAATAGGAAAAAGAAGAGGGAAAAATACTCTTTGCATCCTTAGCATTTTTCAGTAAAAAATAATGCTGATCAGAGAAGCCAAACCTCATGATATTTATTAGTGGACTTTCATATTCTATAAAAAAAAAGTCAATTTGAGGAATGAGATTACTTGGATGCTATTCTGTCATGAGAAAACAGCCTGAGAGCATTTACATCAATTCTCTTTGTAAACAAAAAGATTGCACCAATGAGGGGAGGTAATAGAAGGATCTTTGAGGGTAAAAGCAAGGAACCCCATGAGCTCACTGGAGCTATGGAAAGAAGCAAGTTCTATTGTGCGTCTGTTCTTGAGGATTTGACATATTCCAAACCACCTCTCCCCTCCTAACTTCATAAAACCCCGCTTACTGTAGAACAAGGCCCAAAAATCTGGAGTACATGGAAAAAGAAGAATATGTTCTTTCCTATAATGCATTGGCTACAATCAACACTTCCAAGACCGGATCATTTCAATTCTAGTTCAACCATCAGGCCCATCAAAGTCCACAGATGGAGTAGCCTATAAAAGTAGCAGAACAAAAACAGAAGAAAAATCAAGGCCATCTAGAACAACCATTTTAATTCAACTTTCCAATTTGCCAGTTTATTCAGTTTCTGATGCAACTCTGGTTGATAACTGAACCAAAGCATTAGAGATCAAGTGCCGGTACATACTGGTCCAACTGGCAATTCCTAATATCCCCCCCCCACCAACAAAAAAAGCCATTACCAAATGCTGGCCCCAGCTATACAGGTTCTTAGAAGGAATGACCTGGATAAAGACCTATCTTCCAGCATTTTTTACAAGCTGCTCTTATACCCGAGCCCATATTCTCATGATTGTCATCTGAAGATTTTAGTTTACCATCAAATCAAGCAATGGTCCCCTCCTGCATGGTTTTTAAAATCTCCATAAATAATGTGTCATGTGACTCATGTCTAGGAAGTAGGAACATCAACAACTATTTTTAAAATTTCAAACATCGTAAAATGGATAAAATATAAAATTACATGTTCACAAGCCTTTGTCACAGTTGTCAAGCATATAACTTCTAATATTAAATTCCAGGAACTGATAGTGATTATTAGCCCTGTTAGAATCCTTAACCTCTTTAGAACAAAAAACACTTATACAACCATGTTTGTTCATGAGAAACAGCAAAAAGAGCAAAACATATGATTCCAACAGCCCAATATTGTTATTACAAATATTGAATTGACAACAGGACCTCAGCTATGTTTGTTAAACAACAGTCAAAAACAACTTGTTTTGAAGTGAGAAAGGACAACGAAAACAACCATATTATCACAATTCACGTAACATATGACCTGGAAAACAAAACAAATTTTCAACCAGGCAAAGAAAAGCAGCTAGATAATGAAAAACTATGCATAGTACTCCAAATCTACAACTATAAAACAAACTGTAAAAGTATGGGCAACTTAAATGATAAAACCAGTCAGACGACAAAATGGAACACCTCTGTAATCCTTGTTCTCTGACTCAAATTTTTCATCGGGTAGAACAGACAAAACACCTGGCACGCCTGCACCGTATTAGAACTGTTGTTTAAATACTGGCCAGCATAAACAGCAACAAAAATGAAAAATCAAGAAGGGATAGGAGTAGATATTGACCAGCTAGCTCCCGTGAACACTCCTCATCAAGTTGACAACAGAAGCCAAAATTATTTTGCCAGGAAACATGATATATACACATTTCAGCATCCTTCTGACTGCAATACCATTTACCAGCTTTCAGGATAAATTAAAAGCAAGGAAATGAAGAAAATAATGTGCAACAGGCTTCTATTTCTTAAAGAAAATGAAGTGAATTCATCTTTGAACATGATTGACTTACTTCCCCAAAACTTTTGTTAATATTTGAGCATAATAGTCCACCATCTGGGCCTTTGTGATAACTTCAACTCCTGGTTTCTCCATTCGAACTAACCAGTACTTGGAAGTTCCCTCAGGAAACAGTAGAGGAGCCACACCATTTGAGTTTGATGGATTACTCAATGGAAAGCTTGAAAAACTATAGTCCTTTTCTGATGAATCAATATCCGGGTCGGGCCTAACAGATAACACCTCTGGCAAACCTACGTTATAAAGACCAAACTATAACATCAGAACAAGAAATAACCCGACCCATTTAACATCTCTTTCTCACTAAAATCACTGATGAATGGTTATTCTTCGTGACATTCTTATTAAAATCAAAGCCTCTTAAAGGTTGCAACTACTCTTCTACTTGTAGTTCTCTCATTTAGCCAACAACTTAAAACTATTGAAGAGATAAACAGTAACAACAGTAATAGGGAGAACAACTTACTAGCAAGCTGGCGAGAAGTCTCCTCATCAATGTCGCAACAGAAGCCAAAATGGGTCTGCCAGGATGCGTCGTAGATACACTTTTGAGCTTCTTTCTCGCTATTAAACCACAACAAAAGTCCAGTTCAGACCCAAGACGAAATATCACACGCGTTGCATAATAAGTAATAACAACCACCAAATAACGAAGATACAATAGACAACTGTTAATAAAATGATAAAAATGAACTAAATACGATACCTTCCCAAAACCCTAGCTAGGGTTTTGGCATAATAATCGATTATTTCCGGTTTGGAGCGAATCCCTTCCGGAGGCTTCTCCATGATAACCATCCAGTGGTGTTGACCACTGGTAGTTGCGGATGAATGCAGAAAATCTGAGGTAGTTCTTGCGGTTGCTCTTGCTGTTGAAGATACGGAAGAAAAAGAAAAAGAAAGGGATGAGGGAGTGATAGGGTTCCAAGAAGAGCGGACTCTGCAGGCAGTTTTCTTCTTTGATGAAGTGGGTAATTTGATGGTTATGGGGAAGGGATTAGAAGACTGGACTTGGGTAATGGGTGGCGCAACTGTAATTATATTAGCTTTATTGGTGGCTATGGCCGCGGCTGCCGTGGCCCCGGCAGTGATGGTTGCGGTGGCGGTGGAGGGAGATAGAAGCTTCATGGCTGCTGCTCGGGCTTGCTCCCCTACCTCCACAAATCTACTGTTGTGTTTTTGATAATTTTGCTATTTGCCCGCCCAAGCCTGCAGTCGGTTATAGACGTTAGTTAAGGTGTACGAAGAACCAATATCAAATCATGATTAATTGGTGGATTTGTTGACATTACTGTTGTTGAATCCGGATCTGCTATTTACAGTGCCCGCCTCACACCGATCTCACAGCACGATTGGTCGCACATCGGAAACATCACCCGTCTTTGAATTTATTATTTATGGAGAGATATTCTCAATTCAATACTTGGTGGGATGTAGTTCTGAGGTCGGYGAGAATAATATGAAAAAGCTCGTCATGGAGGATAATATGGAAAGCAGTTAAAATGACAATGGTTTGTACTGGGAGTGTCTACGGACCATGGGCAATTTTTGCAAACTGAATCGGTGGTACCGGTACCATCGGTTAACCAGTCCGTCAGTTTCGGTTTCTAATCAGTTCGGCTCTTCGATTTTTTATATTTATAATATATATTATATAAATATAATGTATAATATTATATTATAAATAATAAATGATATATAATATATTTTAAATATTTTAAAAATATATAATATATAACATATTTATATATACATTATTATAAATATAATATAAGTATACATTTATATATATAATGAATATATATTTATATATAATATATAGAAAATATGTGACATATATTAAAAATATATATAATATACATATAAATATACATACCAGTCGGTTCGGTTAATCGAAAACCAAACTGATCCTTCGGTTTTTCAAAAATCCCAAACCAATCGATTCGGTTAACCGCATTTTACAATTCAATTTTCTCAGTTTAGTTTGGTTTTCGTTTTTTCAGTTTTTCATGGACACCCCTAGTTTGTACGGCATGGGAAGAGACGAACTAGATGATATTCAATGAAAAAAACATATCCAATTAGACAATCATATATGCCGTAAAGATAAAAGTTGCACATTGGGTAAAAGCTATGCAAGCCTTTTAAACTTTATTGGCAAATGGTATAGTAAGAACTTGGCACCACAATCTACTAAATGGATAGGGTAATCATGGAATGGAAAACCTCTAACAACCAACATTGTAAAACTAAATTTTGATGGAAGCTCTTTAGGTATTCAAGGGATGACTGGTACAGGAAAGTATTTCAGGATTCACAGACAGGATGCTAACTTTCTATTGAGCCCTATTGGATGAGGTGACTCGCTTGGCATAAGGTTTGCAAAGCAGTATGACTTCAAGCAATTGGAAGTGGAAGGAGACTCTCAAGTGAGCAACTGAGCATCATGCACACCTTTAGGAAAATTGAAAGCCTATTAAGGGTTGCTTATAAGTGGGTGAGAAGAATTGCAACTAGGACCAAAGATTCTCTAGCAAAACAAGGCAACAAATGTTTTGGGCAAAAGTTTAATTCACTATGTATTGTGGGATGGCTGAATCAGCTTGTTGTACTCTTTTAATTTGCACATTTGATAAAATCTTATTCAATGAAAAAAATGGTCTCATATTTGGGTTAGTTTTAATTTTTGTATTTCATTTTCCACCATTAATAAATACTTCTTATTTATCATACATTTATTCTTATAGGATGGATATATAAGAGTAGAGATGTGCCATTCTTTTCTATTTTTTTGAGTTTGTATCTATTTAAAAAGATTTAATATTTAATTAAGGCATCATGAGTTGACCCATTTAACCAAAATGGTTGAATTTCTTAATTGCACACTTGATAAAATCAAGTATGGCTTTTATACTATTAAAATTATTGTTCACAAATTTAATCAATTGAATTTGACGATAAGAAACAAATATACCTTACACATAAGATTCAAAGAGAGTATTAAAATTAATACCTTAAATATAAGACTCCGTGAGATAGAATAGAATGTACGAAGTGGTGGTATTCAAATTACAATTTTTACTCTCACAATAGAAAGGACCAAATTAAAAAAAATGGGATTTTAAAATTAAAAAAAAAAAAAACACAAAATCCTTGGGAGCTATTTCTACTTTTTTTTTGCTGCAAACATTCCCACTTTATATGGTAGAATAAATATAGATTATGTATACCAAATGACCATCTCAGCTATTGGGTCATTGGCATGTATACACTATTCATCATGTTTATTTATTTCTTTTTTTTTTTTTGGCATGGTGAAAGAATGTGTAGAAATAATGTTGACATGTTAAAATTTTTTCGTGCATTCTCTTGTAAGATGTTTGAACGTTAGTGGCATTGACAATACATGGAGAAGTGGAGAAGCAATTTCCTATACTTTAATAATAAAACCAAGAGTTCAGTACCAAAAACAAAGAAAAAAAGGAAGAAGAATAAAACCATGAGTGATTAATTTTTCTACTGGTCTTGATCTTTTAGGCATTGCCTTACCAAATGTGATTTCCCAAAGTAATTTAGGGCTGTTTGACAATGTCCATGATTTTGTTTTTCAAAACAAAAACAACTGCCACATCAGTAACATAAATATATTTTTGCTACGTGATAATTATTTTAGTCTTAAAAAACAAAACCAACCATGTTCCGAACACCCCATAAATCAGCAAATGTAAGTGGAACTAAATGGAACCACTAATAGGAAATAAAAGGCTAATTCCTTCCGGGGTTGGTGTTGAGTCATCAATTTAGGAGGTGTTGATCAATGTGTATGGTTTTGTTTGCTAAAACAAAAATAACTACCATCTTGGTTTTCACATTGGCCATCATGGGATGCACTCTCTGTTTTTAAAAAATGCCCCAAGCCTACTAGAAGAGACCTGTGTGACGCGTAGGCTGGTGGTAAAAGACGCCCATGTTAAGGGAGAGTGATTACACTCAGTTTCCTAATAAAAAGCAAACTGAATAATTTGTGAGTAGCCCCCATTTGATTTTTTTTTTTAAATAAAAAACCACAAAATTCTAAAGGGGTTGGGAAGCAAAAGAGAGCTGATGTGGACAACCACATTTTAGAATATGGTATAGATTTTGCCATGCGGCACAGCAGAAAGTGATGACCAATAAAAAAAAAGAGGGTGATGAGAGGAATACATTTGGCCCCAACTTTTGTTAGTGGGAACTCGAGTAGCTGCCAGTAAGCTCCTATTGTTTTGTCTTGGAAGCGACCCTGATGCAACCATTGGAGTATAGGTGCCACTTCCCTTGCTGTTAATACCACAAGGTGACCAAAAGTAAAACCTGGTATTTCTGGCAAACAACAATGAGTGTTAAAAATTGTATATGATGAGCCAATCCATTCATCTTGTGTCAGTAGGATCTCTAAAAGGGGTTTGTGAAAAGGCTAATAAAATTAGAAAGGAGAAGGTTTCTAGTTATCTTTTCTATGATCCATTTAGTGGCCAAAGAATCCCCATACTGAAGGCAACACTGTCGGAGCAAGGATCCTCGAATTGGATGCGTTGGAAAGAAAATCATTACACTTTTGGTACACTTGGCATCAACCCGGTTCAACATCATGTTGTCTGACCTGGTCGAAAGACTAGATATGCTCTAGAAACAATGAGAAAATGCCTATTGGTTTTTCAAAATAGCAGATTTTTGAACAGGGAAGGAATACAATGTCAAGTAAAGACATAAGAAAACTCTGACTCAAGATATTAGTTGATGGATCAGTCTTTCAGATAATATTACTGATCTCTCCAATCCATTAGCTTATTGAAATTGCTAATTTATCTGACTCCAGTTCATAGCTATAATTCCTCAAATCCCACTACATAAACAATTATAAATCTACAAAGCATGAGCTTTTACACTTCTCCAATAAGGCACAAAGTAGACCCTCAATAGGACAACTTTTGTTATCAGAAGCCAATTCAATTTTAGAGAGAAACTATTGGGGGAAGGGGGCTTGAATTATGACTTCTGAGAAGATTTTTTTTTTTTTTTTTTTTTCAGAATGTGGAGCTCTGATAATTACTGAAACTTTACAGTCCTGCTCTTCATGTAGTGAAGGTCTCATTACTAGATTCTTCATTTGCTTCATTGAGAGGTTGGTAGTGGATATTAGGGTTGCCATCCTCAATAGCTGTTGCTGGAACAGGATCTTTCTCACTAGCAGAGAAGTATACAACCAGGATAAGTCATGATTATATATAGTGAAAAAATCTTGTAAAAATTACGTATACCAGAATGCAAAACACAGTAGCAAGGAGATCTCCTTACAAATAGCTGGTGCAATAGATTTTCACGATATAAGATGCTTGCAAATTCTGTTTATGCTTCAATTTAATCATCATGGACAAAACTCATTAGGTACATTATCACTTTGATGAGCCATAGCTCAAAATCTGTGTCCACAAAATGACCCTAACTTGGATAGTCAATGGGCTGTTGGAGGTAGCTACTATGGAATTGGGTAAATCATATTCATATGCTAACAGAAGAAATCCAATCAAAACCCATATATGGGTTAGAAAAAGGCTTAAAAAAATTTATAGCCATCATTCCTCAAGCACAATTTGGAATTAGTTTTTTCCTTTTCAAAAAAGGAAAATTCAATCCTCAAGTATGCAATATGTATTTTCTATAATTCCGTAGCTGCCTATCTGTTTGCATGTTTGCATACATTTAGGCATGCAGCTACCTACACATCATGATCGCATGCATGTTTGTGTAAATGTGCACAAACTCTAGTCTCTAATACAGAGAACAAAATTTCCCAGGTAAATAAGACATACGTTACTGAATAGATGACAAGTCCAAGAGCCACGACACCAAAAGCAAGATAATATAGCCAATCAACCTGAAATAAGATTGGTAGATACAGTTGTATCAGATCACAATACACAATATAGCATACATTCAGCACGGAGTAAACACATACAGCATAATTAAAGAAAAATACACATACATATATGTTACATACCCTCTGAATATGAGAAGTAAGTTAAATCAGCCTTGCATATCTAAATGTGTTGCATACCCTCCAAAAATAGAGTTAGTTTGGAATAATACCTTTTGGTGGTAAATAAAGATACGAATGAGTACTGCCCACATATCTGATGTGAGAAGAGAGAGATTGAACATCGTGGCTCCACTCATCTGTATGTGCCAGACAAACTCATTAAGAAACAGTAGGTTGTTCATTTCTCTAGATGAGATTGTGCACTTCAAAAAGAAAAACTTTAATCTGATGTGTGCTCCAAGACGAGATTCTCGTTTGCTTTTAGGTTAGCTACTTAGATTTTTTATAATATATGTATAGCCATACACATAAGTACATACTATCTATATTAATAATTTCATACTGTATGTATACTATTTATAAATTTTAAGAAAATTATTTTCATTGCATATAACAACGTTATGAAGGCTACTTAGTTTACCATAATATACCCATATATGAGAAAGACCTTCCAACTTTTTAACACAACATGAAATGGCTGATAATAAGTAAGTCTTCGGACAGAAATTGGGCCAAAGTTTGGAAGGTCAGAAAGAAAAAAATTGCAATCAATTGAAAAGATTTACAGATTAAGTTCATTCATTCAACTCATCTTTAATTTTCTTTGATAAATAACATTAAATAAAACCAAGTTACCCCTAAAGGGTAACAGGCCCAGAAGTACAAATCCAAACAGGGTTCACACTAAATCATTGTGTTGTATTAAATAGTTACAAACTGAATCCCAGTCCTGGTCCATACCAATCCCAAAATTCCTGGATTGCTCCCGCTTTAGTAAAAACATCTGCGATGCTGTTTGCACTTCTAGGAATCTACTTGAATGAGGCATTCGAATTTCAATATAGCAAACAGCAAACAGCATATTGAAAGCCCACAGCTCCGCTTCTAGGTAATTTGTAATTCCTATTGGTCCTGAAAAGCTTAAATGTAACTGTTGCACTTCCTGACTACTGCAATTCCTGAAGCTCCCAGATTTTCTAAACTGCACCCATCAAAGTGGAACTTCAGCCTTCCTGTAGCAGGAGATTCCCATTGTTCTCTTCGTTGTGTTTCACCTCATTGGTCAGAAGCAACAATTTTCCATCCTCTTAATAAATTGTTCATTGATACTCCTTTAATGTTTAAGCTCATCAAAATCATTACCCAATTAGTCAATTTGTACTGTTACATTTCTAAACATGCCCTTCTTGAACTATTGATTTTAGATGGACCATGATTCCAGTCTTATTACTTCAATTTCATGAGTTTATTTCTAGTATTAGCATATTTGAGTATTTTTGTGTTTATCTTTTTGTACCAGTAATTTTATATCTATCCCCATTTTCTTGTTAGTGATTAATTCACAACATGACCCCATTACACAAGCCTGTCTATATCCCCTATTGAAAACCAACTTAATATACCCAATCTTAATTTTATTGCCTAGTCAACTCGAACCAGAAGGCAGGCCTAAATTCCAACCATATATAAATAACAATTTCAAAACATAGGAAATTCAGAAATCTTATTCAAATCTCTGAGCACTTTTTGGGCCAACCTACAAGTTTTGCTGTTGAAAAATCCAGAAAGTGGTATTTATAGTGGGTTGTTCTACATCAATCTGGGACCTTGGGTACGGGGTGGTAGGGAGTTGTGCTCCTTCCACCATTCCATCTTGTCATGGACTTGTGGTGTACCTAACCTTTATAACATATGAATCTTTTATTCACTTAACAACTCAAAGGAAATATTTACTCTTTTTACCTCCATGCTATCTCTATGTAGGAAGCAGTTTCTACTATAAACCAAAGTTTGATAGTTAAATCATCCACTTCCACGTTTAACTTGGCCAAGAAAAAGAGAAAGAAAGAATGAAAAAAGTTCTTTCTAAATCAGAGTTTGAACTTGGCACTAGGAGTGATGGAAACCACATTGATATGGACGAGTTCCTCCACGTTGATGTGGGAGTCACTAGGAATATCTAATCATTATGAATTAAGAATTTAAGACATAGGAAGCAATCTATTTGGTGATTAGTGTTGTTTAATGCAAAGGCTAGTATAACAATATTGATCCAAAACTTAAAGTTGTTAGACTTACATGCACGGAAAAATATTCTACTAAAAAGAAGGAAACTGACCTTCAAAACAAAGGGAACAATTGAGTAGAATATGAAAGTTGACAGTGCATAGCCAGCAAAAAGCAATATCTGAAAAGAAGAAAGAGGAAGCAATTTAATTTATAATATTTTTTACCTTGTATGCAGGGTAACGAAAAGGCATTAATCAATTTATAAGGAAAAAAAGCCAAAAAAGGAAAAAAGGATAGAGGAAATCACTTCAACCTAAATGAAAGAATTTTCTCAAGTAAAAATCCACTAAACTATAGAATGTCTTTTGGTCTTTCAATTCTAAGACAATTCAAATTAGATACATACCCAAGTATTGAACCGTATTTGAACTTTGAGATGCAAAATTTGGGAAAGTATTTAAATAAAATCCCCCATGCAAATACTTGCATCAACCATATTGATGCATGTTTACTAGTAAGAAAAAGAAGCTGTAATTACCATATATAAAAGATCATATACTGCCCAAGGTGTTAAAAAAACCTCCAAAAAATCATTTAATCCTTTAATTCCTCTTCACTTGTCAAAGAAATCTCTGCCCAACACTTTTGTTAAAAACACTTCACTCTTGATTTGTGTTTGGGAAAAGCACAAATTAACAGCTTGTGTTTAGCCTCTTGCCCAACTTTGTTTTGATCAGTAATGGTAAAATTTATTAGGAAAAGAAAGAAGAGATGAAGAAGAATATACAAATCTAGGAGGATGGGGAAAAGCAAGAACACCCATCTCCCAGCTGAAAGAGGCCTGGGAACCTCAGAAATACAATTAACACATATAATCCCCCAAAAGACAACCGAAGAAGACTTTAAACAGAAATTACAAGACACCAAAAGAGAAAAAAAATACAGAAACAAAAATCACTAAACCTGGACTTAAGAAACTAACTTGACAAAGCAGTCCCAGAAAGAGAAAAGTGGTAATTGGGTTTTCCATTTTTTTATCTTCAATTTCTACAACAAACTATTTTGTTGGATGTCTCCAAAGAGACATTTCCACTACAAACCATGTGAATCTAGTGATCCTCCTCACTTGACTGGATATGTTTACCCACAAAAAGAAAATTCTCTTTGAGCACTTAAATGGTTAGCATAATAAATTGAATTAAATTTCTGTTGAATGATATCCTTTTCTTTTTAATGAAAGTTACCCTTTCTCAAAAAAAAAAAAAAAAAAAAAAACCTGTTGAATGATATCTTATTTAGACCATTTGCATGTATTTGTTGCAGTCTAAGTGTTTAACAGAAAAAGTATCATGTTCACAATCACCATTCCTCTTACGAAATGCTTTAGTTGTAGAAACCCATCTAAGATAAGGAGAGTGAAGAATGTTCATTTTTGCAGAGAACAGGTAATGGAGAGCATAAGTTTTAATGGCAAGTGCATAAGTCAAGGTTTGACAGGTGTGAATGTAGATTACTTACAATATCTGTAGACCACTGGACTGCTTCGAGATCCTTCCTCTCAATCATCGATCTAAAGTAAGGTTATGGAATGAAATAATTTTTTTTTCTCAAATAAGTGTGTTCCCCTGTCGCAAACATAGTTTCTTTACATGAAAAGGATACATCTGACATATACTGACCAGCAATCCAAAGACACCAAGCATTGCAACTACTTCAACACGATCTTTCTTTTTAACACAGTATTCCTACACAAAGTAATTAAAGAAAAGAGGAACTTTTAAGAAGCAAGTATATGGTTATGATTTATATTGAAGTAGTGAAATTTCTTGAACTTGGCATGGAGCATAAAACCACTGGAACCAGTTACTATCTGTGGAGAGAAGAGCAGTGAATTCACTAACCTCACCAACATTGCTCATTGCATAACAAAGGGTCCCTGCGATAACAAGTACATCACCCAGTAGGGGTTTCTCCCCACCTACAAGAAAATCCAGGCAATGGAAAGATAATTCAGAAAAACTAAAGCTAACTGATATTCAAACATAAACACCATGACCGTGAAAAATGAACAAATCCACTTCTCTTTTTTTTTTTTTTTTTGCTAAAAACAAATATACTTCTCTGTATTCCCTTTTTTCTTCTCTCCTTTTTTGTTTCTATTGCAAAAGAAATGGGAGCGAAAAATGAATAGTTGGTAGGTGGTTGCTGAATTATGATCCACGAAGGAATCACAAAGATACTACTGAGGCATAAACAGAAATTTTAAAGCTACAAAATAGATAAGTAATAAAATAAATAAATAAATATTACCTCCACCGCCCACCCCTGCATCTGATAGCAGCACCAAACCAAGCCCTATGACACACGCAGCTGCACCCAGGTACTGCCACAAGGAATATCGTGTTCCTATGAAGATCCATGTGAGAATAATGACCCAGGGTATGGTCCAGCAATCCAATATCGTCACACTAGTAATTGAAGAGTATTGGAATGCCTTAATTACTGCATCCAAGAATCTGACATTTAGTAACTGTGTAGGTAGGAATATATAAGCCATAAGTTATAATTTCTAGAAACCAAACTACTAAATACAGTTCCCTTTTCTTCCTCTTCCAGGAGGAGGAAGTGAGGAGTTAAGCATCCAAACATATCAGCACAGGAAAAGGAATTATCAGGAAACAAATTTGCTCTACTGTTTCACTATTTACGTAAGGCTTAGCTTGTTTGCAGTGCGAATTTCATTTGCACTGGTGTAAATGCATGGGAATGCAAATAGGCTAAGTGTAGGATGCAAAATGATGTGGTCCTCATTCCTCACCTTATGTGAGAAAGAATTGAGGTGAGAGGAAGGTGGTACAAATTTTATATCAGTTTTTGGGATGCGAAATTTGCACTGTTAATGAGTTCAAATGAGACAAAAAGTACAAGTTTTGCTTCAGATAAGAATGCAAATCATAGTTATAAACAAACAAATGCAAAACTTAACCAGGTACAAAATTTTCATCCGGTTCAGATTTGCACCGCAAACAAACAGAGCATAAAAATCCAAGAGATAATTTGCTTGAAGAAGAAGAGTAAGAAACCAAATAAAATCTGATATGGATCAAACCCACCAAGATAATTTCCTTGAACATCAATAAATCCCAGAGGAATGTACCAATACCAAGGAACCTGCCAATAAGCCCCAAAAGAGAAATTATTTTAAACCAATTTTCATAAAAATCCAACCCTCTCACTTTGAGATCAGCAGACAAGTAGTCCTTTGTTTAAAACTTAAAAACAAATTACAATTAAAAGTGCTATAACTTGAGTTTACAAAGCTAATTTGGATAACAGGGGAGTCACAACCTGCAGCTTTTGACGCCGATACAAAAGAATGGCACCGTATACCAAAGCTAGTAATAGATAGGTGAAGAATGACTGCGTAAGAGGCGCATCGACACCTGCGAGAACCAACACCAATTCAATGAAAACCTAAAGAAGAAACGAGAAGAAATCAGATGGGTATCATGGGCATGGGTTTGTGGGGGTTACCGACCGATATCAGCCAAAAGAGATGCAGTGAGGGCAGTGAAGGCGAGGTTGAGAGAAACGACCTGGCCCAGAAATAGAATGTACAGAATTCTCAAGGTCTCCTTGCTTCCCCACCTGTTCATGGCGGGAATCAGAGCAGAACAGTCTTTCAATGAGGAAAAAGAAGAATTAACAGAAAAAAGAGCGTGAAGTGAATCGAACTACGAACCTGGTTTTTACTGATTGGAACTGGAGAAGAATTTTCAGTACGGCAATTTTTTTTTTTGGATTTAATTATAGATTATCAGATCTGCAACCACCAGTCTCGACGGTAAGAATTTTATAATAAAATTATTATAGAATTGGAAGGAAAGGGAGCGAAGTAATTGGGGAAGGCTGAGGGGGTTTAACGGTCGGTAGAAAGAGAGGGCGGGAGAACTAATAACCAAACTGCGAGAGCGAGACAGCTAAGGGGTATAATGGTCATTTCCTTTTGTAACCATATGATTATTTCTGTTTCTCAGGTTCGTTATGGGCCGTGCCTTGCATTTATAAAAAATATTTTCCAAATACTTAAACCTACCCATTTTTTTATTTTAATTTTGTTTTTTTTTTTAAGAATTGAGAGTCCATTTTGTAATTGGAATTGGAATCGAAATCAAAATCCCTCAAATTTCAATCAAGGAATGGTATATTCCTCTTACCTGCTTACCTGTTTGGTTGAAAGAAGAATTAGATAAGGTGGAATGGGAATATGATTCTAATTCAAGTCCGGATCTTTTGCCCACACAAATTCTGCCCAAGTTTATCCACAAAACATTGTAGCGAGTTCAAATCTGCCCCCCACAGAATGCGCCTCAAAAATATAGGGGAGATGTTCTCTATGCACATTGAGATGTGCATGTGGGGTGTTTTGGGGGTGCATTCTGTGAGGGGCAGATGTGAACTCTATTGTAGCCACACATGGAGAACATCACATCCTCCTACATGGTATTATATAGGGGAAGATGTTTCCAATTCAGGGGTAGTGTATTGTGGGTAGACGTGGGCAGATGATCCGGAGTCTTCTAATTCTGCCTGGGCAGGAGAGTTAATAACCAAATTGTAAGGCTGCATAATTGAATCAAATTCGATATTGGTAGATCTACATTTTATTTGTTTATATCTAATTTGATCATGCCCATCATATATTTAGCGGATTCAAATCGAATTCAGATTATAATCCAATATTAAATTAGTATATATATAAAACTAAAAATGATCAAAATATTATTTATTATTAAACTAAAAATATTATTTATTAATAAAATAAATTAAAAATGACTTTAATATTATATTTTATGAACAATTTGAATTGAAAGTTACTTGTATGAAACTTGAAACTATGACAATTTAATGAAAATACTACATTCAAACCAACTTTATTGATAGATATGATATGAATTTTAAGTATATTTGAGCACGTGTATTTAAATCGAATTGAATTGGGTAGGGTGCATCCATATTTGAATCAATTATAAATGGTGTTGAATTCAGATCACCCTTAATAGGATCAAATTTGAATTTGAATTCAAATTCGGACGATGGAAGATATTCTCAAATGCATGATTACAATGTGTTGTGAGGTTGGTGTGAGGAGCAATTTCAAAATCGTCTGAGCATGACTCGTGCTCAGGTAATGGGGTGGGGCACCCCCTCCCTCTCCCCACCTCATAGCCAAGATAATCTACCTCATCCCCACCCTGTCTTTGGTGGTAGGGCAGGACACCCACTCTCCACCCCCCAAAATTTTCACACCTGAAGACAATCACCTAAAAATATATATATTTTTCAGGATATTTCAGAAATAGTAATATGGGAATTTGGGGGATATTTTAGGGATTGGATTATGGCAACTTTGGGAGTATTTTAGAAATGAAATTAGAGTATAATAGGATTTTAGGAATTTGGAGAAAACTTATAAATATTTTAAAATTGATATTAAACTTAGTGATATTTTACTAATTTACCATTATATTCATGGCAGATTCAGGAAATTATATGCAAACTTTATCTCTGCTCTGTCCCCAATTCAGAGAAAAAATATATATTTTTCTCATCTCCACCTGTCTCATTTAACACCRGAGAACCCACCCCCATTTGGGGTGAGGCGGGGCCTTGATTTTAGGGGGGAAATTGCCATCCTTAAGCATGAGGTAGGACGTGGATCTGATGAGTTTAGTGGTTGGGCCGTTGAGTGTGGCCCACCACAAATGAAAGTTAAATCGGGTCCTAATGCTATTTCCTTTTATAACCATCAAATCTCTTTTATTTCTTCAGATTATTTTTGGGCCATGCATCATGGATTGATGCCAAATTCACTAGGAGCCTGAATTATCTAACAAATACTTAATGAAGAAAAAGTCGATTTTAATTTTTACACCCCCTCTTCTCATATCCTTTTTTTTCTCTCAACATCTCTCTTTTCTACCCTTAGGCTGTGTGGTTTGAAGGAAAAAGTAGGGAAAGAAAGGAAAAGGCAGAGAAACCTATACAAGATTTGTAAAGGTTTCCCTACATTTCCCTTCATTTCCCTGCCTTTTCCTTCAAACCAAACATAATCTTAGTGACATGGGGCGGAAACAGTCCAACCACATCCCTTATTCACTCAACAACTACAACCTAAAACCACAAGTTCAATGCTTAAAAACAGTATTGAAAATCAGTAGCCTTATTAGTTGATTTTAAATTTTTATTAAAGCAATTGTTTCTAAATTCAATGGGTTTTAAAATAATGTAATTACAATTTTTAAGATTGTAAAAAGCAAATAGTATCTATTTCTCTGAATTAAATTAAGATTCAATTGGTTAATTTGAGGCAACTTAAAGTCCAATCCAATTAATATTTGTGGGTGAATTGTTTGTCTATGAATTTTAAGTTTTTATCAATCAATTTTGAAAATTGGTTGATATAATTATTTCTAAATTTAGGATTGCAAAAGATATATATTTGTATGCATTCAAATTGAGATTCAATTGGTCTAAGGCTCTAAGCAAATTCAAGTCCAATCCAAAATGTGAATGAAACCATGGTTAGCAATGGTTTTGTGAGGCGGGACAAATCTGGTGTCCTCCTTCCCTATAGGGATGGGGCTGGGGCCGGGCAGGGTACATGTGTTTGGGGAGATCACATCTTCGCCTCACAACGCCCGACAGTACATCCCTGCCGTGTATTAAGAACATCTCCCGATAATGACATCATCGGGAGGTGTTCCTAATACACGGCGGAGATTTACCATAAGGTGTTGTAGGGCGGAGATGTGAACACGTGTTTGGRGTCGGAAACAGGATATGTAAAACCCAACCCAACCCTACCCCACCCCTAACCATAACTAGAGTCAACAACAATCCAATTTATGCATGGATGGTCAAACTGTTGCAGATCTGTTGTAAACTTTGTTTCTCTTCGATCTGTTGGTGATATCCTCGTTCTCATTGTAGTCCTATACAAATAATAACCAAACCCCTTAAAAGCATGCAAAGACACTCAAAACAAAGTATAAAGGAACGAAGAAAAGGACAAGTACAAAGAATTAGTTATGCTAGAATTAGCAGGTGCTATCTACTAGACAAGTCGAAGAAGATGGTCGATTTGGAGGATATTGCCGCTGACATTTTATTGTTGGTGTTGAATCTCTTATCCAGCTATTCCTTTCTTTTTCTTGGATTTGGATTTTAGCTCTAGTGAGTTTCATGAATTTACCGAGTCTTTGTTCAGTAATAAAAAAATCATTGGGGTAAATTTTCTAGATTAATTCTTCTATTTTGTTTACACGTTGTGGTCTACGATACACTCATACAAATAAGAAATAGGGAAAAAGGGTGGCAATTGGGCAATTGGTTCTATGACCTTGATATATGTGCAGCTAAAGCGAGAGCAAGGTAGGTAAAGAAGGGAAAGAAAGAGAGGTGAGACCAACGGGCTGTGTTGATTCACATGGTTAGTTGCAAAAGTTAAGGAGGAAAAGAAGTATGACCAGTGGGTAGGGTTGGTTCAAGAGGAGAGAGAAAAGAAGAAGAAAAGAGGGAGAGGCAGCTAGTTCGGTTCTACTCCTGTTCTCCAAAAATGTGAACTACTAAGAGGAACTTGAAGCCTTTTAATATTAGAAAAAACTTGAATCATTCCTTCCATAGTTGCTTCTGTTTTATTAAAAAGTGGGTTTTTTGGTGGAAGAAAATCTAAGATTGCATACGATTTGGATCTAATCAGGAAGATCTGCTTTGACTTGTACTATTGTAGATGCCAAGGGCACTAGTGTTTTCAACCCGTTGTTGATCTGCTCGAACCATCACCCAATCAAGATTTCAGGTTTTGATGGTCTGCTTTGACTTGTACTATTGTAGATGCCAAGGGCACTAGTGTTTTCAACCCGTTGTTGATCTGCTCGAACCATCACCCAATCAAGATTTCAGGTTTTGATGGAGCAAAATTTGGAAGGAGGTCAAAAGCCATTGACTTGGTCAAAAACCATCCAACCCGAATGGTTGGACTATTAACCCGTTCAACCCGATGGCTAGGTCACATTTTGCACACTAAATGTGTATGCAAACTTTGGGAGGCCATAACTTTGCACTCTGATGTCCAATTGAGATGATTTTTTTTTGGTAATTTTTCAAGATATATGTATCCCGAGGGGCCGTAGCTGYCTTGCCCCAATATTTTCACCAAAAAAACCTTTTTTGACTTCAAATTGCATTTTTTTTTACTTTTTTACAAATAAAAAATTTAAAGCTGAATTAAAAAATATAAATTAAATATAAAATAATGCATATATTACATAAGAACATAATTATACATTATTTATTGTTAAAATATATGTTTATACATATTTCCACACACTATATATGTTTGAATTTCCGTATAGCTGATGTGGTATGGTCTGACCTGCTCGACCCGAACAGTCAAACCGGTGACCCACGATCTAAGGCAAAAATGATTCAGCCTCCGAGACTGTTTTTAAAACATTGGCCAAGAGTGATGATAGTTATTTGTATGGAGGATGAATGGACGGGACAGAAGATATCATCACTAGTATTCCAATAATTGTTTCTTGTATGACCTTTAAAGGGTAATTTTGAAATTTTAAAATGATATCACATGCAAAGGAAATAAGACAATGCCCAAAGTGACATTATCCAATAAGGGATGTCAGAGTCTTTTCAAA